ACTTCGGCATCCAGACAAATCGCCAGCTAACAAAGACAAATTGGCACCTCATAAGGATAAAATCAACCATGTGTTTATTCGCTTATTAGCTTTCAGATCTTATTAAATCCTTGATCAAAATATATTGAACTAAAAATTAAAACTACCTGGGACTGATATAGGTATGTGGTAATGACCTCAATTTGCAAGTTTAGTGTTTATATAGCAATTATTTTCGACTGTTTTTACAAATTAACAATTTGATTCCTGCACTATTTATGACATTTTTGTACATGGTATCTTCTGATGAAGTAGTTTATTCTTTTTGTTGTTTTTTTTGTGTGAAGACTGTATTGTAGCTTAGTCATTTGGGTAGCTGTCTTATTCGCGTGTATTCTTTTTCCTCATGCATGAAAATTGATTTCAAAGAGATTATAGATTTCACCATTTATGTACTAGTTTTAATGTAATGCATAGTTCTATTCCGTTAGTATTCTAGTATTAAATAAAAAAAAACACCTGTAGCATATTTATTATATTTATTTTATCTATTATAATTATATTTTGCAGTTTATAGGGTGTCATCCTGGTTTGCCCACTTTTAATTACATGCATATGTAAACATAGGGGGAATTGTTGTTTTAACAATTATAGTTTATTTCTGAATTATAGTCATATTCTTACCTTTTATTTTACCTGTAAAATTTTATAAAAAATACTATATTCTGCTATAAGGAAAATGTGCCAAAATATATTATATTTAATTTTGATATAGTTTTTTTAGCAGGAAAATGTATTGAATTTGATAAATATGAAAATAAAAAACAAACAAATATATGTTCAAAAATGTTTATTTATTTTTTACAATTTATCAACAAATAGTGTTAATTGTTGGTACATTCTGAAAAAAGTTAAAAAAAAATAATAATAATAGATTAGAATAAATGTCATTTAAATTTCTTTTTATTTATTCAACATTTTTTTTTTTAAAATTTTGATAAATATATTTTTCTGAATAAAATCATCATCATGATCATATAGATGCCAGGATTGAAATTTTGTATTTGCGCCAGACGCGCTTTTCGTCTACAAAAGACTCATTAGTGACGTTTGAATCAATAAAAGTTAGAAAGGCCAAATAAAGTTCGAAGTTGAAGAGCATTGAGGACAAAAGAAATCCTCAAAAGTTTTGCCCAATACAGCTAAGGTAATCTATTCCTGAGGTAGAAAAGCGTAAGTATTTCAAATTTTTCAAACTTAGAAATTTAATATAAAAAATATCCAATTAATTCTAACAAATAGAATATATCAAAATGCAACTGTTCTTTAGCCAAGCTGTACGTTTGATAGCTACTAGCTATTGATCATTTACAAGCTTCTGTCCAAGTTTGGCACAAAACCAGGATAGTTTAAGAAAGTTATCAAAATTTTAAAAACTTTAACCAAAGAGTGATTGAATGTTAATTGGCAGAAAAACTAAGTCCTTTTTTAAGTAAAAAACGGATACACAGGATTTTTTTTTTACAAAATTACCTTCTGGATACTATCTTATGATCATAAACAAGCTTCTGTCCAGGTTTGGTAGAAATCCAGGATAGCTTATGAAAGTTATTAAAATTTAAAAAACTTTAACCACAGAGTGAATATTTGTGGACGCTGCCGCCGCTGCCAACGACGGCATGTAGGATCGCTATGTCTCGCTTTTGCAACAAAAGTCGTAGGCTCGACAAAAAGATTGTATTTTCCATCATTATACATATAGTGCCCCATATTATTTATTTTACATTAGTGCTTTATTTATTTCATTATGCAATGCATTTATAAACTTGATTCATTTAGTATATAAATTATGTTTGCAATAAAAGCCAACTTGTATTGGTGTATTTATATCATGAAAATCATTCAGAAACTAATGAATTATTATGACACTTTTATAACTGAAGGTAATTGTTTTGTCATTAGTTGTTCAATATGTATGTGAATCGATTGAATTGATATTAAATTATTGAGAGAAAAAAATATTTGATTTATTCATTTTTTTTCTATTCAAATGATAATGGAATTACAAAATAAAAAATACCTGAATATATAGAAAACGTTAATAAACTATATGATCCTATATACCTAAGTTGGAACAGACTATACACTTGTGTGCTCATTAAACCTTTTGTCTTTTTTGTTTTCTTTACTAATAGATATTTGGTATAATTAAAAGTGGGCAAACCAGGAGTAAACCGTTTATAGATACGTTAACAGCACTAGATTTGCATAAAAGGTGAACACATGATAGTAATGAAATATTTTAAATACTGTAAATATAACAGAAAACATATATACAGGCAGCACAATAAGTTTTAACAAAGTCACTTTGGTGGTGGTTCGTACACACTGGCACATTCCTTTAGCAGTCTGGAGGCGGAGATTATGTTGCTGCAATACTGGTCCCACAGTGCAAAAAGCCGGCCCTGGGTCTGTCGACTCTGCTTTCGCTGATACCTTTAAAGCTTGCCTTCTGAAACCATCTTCAGTTGTAAAGGAATGCCGGAAGCTTCCTTGAACAGTTCTGTGACCAAGGAAAATAAAGGTACTGGTCCCCAGGTGCAGACTTTGGTTTTGGTGTCTTATTCACATGCAATATTTTCTATTTTTTAAATAAAAATTACATAAATAATAATTGACACGCAATGCTATTTAATTTTTAATACATATGTTTGTGATTTTTGTGAGCCTGAAATTTGTACCTCAGTGCACTCAGCACACTTCCACTCTAGTTGAGCACGATCTTTTAACGACAGTCTGAGTGCTAAAAAAAAAAGTTCTTCTTCTTCTTCTTCTTCCATATACTGCCCACATTCAACTTTCTGAATATACTGGCAAATTGGTTCTGCATGGTTAAAAACAGGATAAAAACAAATGTTCATCTTATTTTGTAAGGTTGGTCATTTGAGATTTGAATGTCTCAAATGACTGTGCTGTGGCGATCTCCGGGGGAAGCTTGTTCCAGTCTTTGGTGGTGTTCACAAAGAAGGACCATTTCCTGCAGTCTTTGGTTGCTGTTTGTACCATGTATCCATGCTGTTGTGTATGTCTGGATACTCTGGTTGGTCTCTGGAGGTACATATACAGTGCCACAATGTTATCCGACCTAGACAAGATATGTTCAATAGATTACTGTTAATACACAGGTTCTAATATATAATCACCATTTTTTTCTTTGAGAATCAAAATATTCAGCTTTTTAAAAAAATATTGACGAAGACCAACATTCTATATTAGTGTATATTATATCTATGTTTCGAATATCTAACATTGAATTTAGTCTTTGATATAAATTTGCTTGTTTTAAATATTCAGGGTAGGTGCCATCACACTCTATGTTTTATAAAATTTACAGTCAAAATACAAATCAAATAATATGTTCATTTTCTTTCTAGCTAGTTTTGAACATTACCCATACATTAAAATGTTTTAGGAGCTTTAAAATCATAATCATGTTTAAATCAGAAATGTCCCTTTACTCTCCTTTGTACTATAGCTCTATCGGAAATTGGCTCTGGAAGTGAAAAGTATGCGAGGAGAATTCGCGCTACCTATTTTATGATAATGTATATAATAATCAAAAACATTTCAAAAGCCACTTACCAGTGTTGCATGTTCTATGTTGCCACTTTTGACACCCATCACATTGTAAAGCTTCTTGTCTAGGGCGGACAACATTGTGGCACTGTATACAACTTTTTTTTTCTTTTTTTTTAGCACTCATGCAAACTGTCTTTAACATTTACATTATTTTATATATAAAAAAAGAATCTGATTGAAAAGGTTACAAATTTTTTCTTATATTATTACTAATAAAATTTGTACACATATAATAATTTATCTTATTTTCTTACTTTATGAAAAATAACAAAGTAGTCAACATATAACGTTACGAGTATGTTAGTTAGTATGAAAAGTATAGAAAATAGCATAGTTGTGTTTTACAGATACGTAGAAGGAAGAAAGTGAGAAACTCGACTAAGGTATACAACATTGTCTGACATTGTGTAAGTATATTGTGGTGGATTTTGGTTTTATAGTCCGACTATCCGGGAGGATATCGCGGACTTTCATCTACCTATTGTCACAGATTGGGTTGGTCTGTCGTGCGTTTGGCTTTCATCTTGCATCGACTTGGTTGAAGAGTCTGGTATGGGGTATCTGGCCGTTTCAAGGTGGACATAGTTGTATTGACTTATTCTGGAGATGGCATTATTAATGGCGACGTGTGTGGTGGTGTACGGAGTAACTCGGGATCATCTAAATCAAACCCCTCGTCAATGTCAATCCGAAATAGTTTGCCTCTTTGGTTGGTTGGGTGCAGATAGTACTGGCAATGGCATGCCTTCCTGGGGTCTGCATGGACTGATGACAATGTCCGACTTGATGACGATGACCTCAGGTTCACCTGGGTATTTGGTAGGTGTTATCTCTCTACTACCCTCTAGCAATGTTCTAGCTTCCGTCTGATTGTTCTTGTCTACGCTGGCGGTGGATTGTAGCACATCAGCGGAGGTTACAGCAGTGAAAAAATGAGGTGCCGAGTTTGTCTGGGTGCCGAAATGTCTTGTTACCCTTTTAGTCATTGGCTAACGTATATTTACTAGAACTATACTAAGAGACTTCTCAAATACCCGACAACAGAAGGAGACACACAACCAATGTCTTCCGCAATCTTATTTGAATAGGCACTAATACATCACACCGTCGATAAAATCATATAAAATTGCAATTCAAAGTTTCCGCATACATTACCGTTCCTTCTCCGGACAAACTCTAAAACTACAAATTAATGAATGCAAAAATTATCAGGATTATTTTTTTTTTTATTTTGACTGAAATAATTTATTTTTCATTGATGTTAAAATTAAATGTTCAATTTCAGATTTCTGCTTTCTTAAAGAATATTTACTCTTTTAGCCAATCATAAATGCTCTTGTAAAATTTTTTCCAGGTTTTCAACCAATCATAAAATCGGCTGCAAATTATTTAAAAACATTGTACCGCGAGTTTCTAGCCAAAGCAAAACAAGAATATTCCATGATAAAAAGTATTTCAGTGAAAGACATTGGTATATAAGAGACGTTAATGTACGGAGATTATTATGATTTGGTTAATAGGAATCATTCACGACTTTTCACGCGTGGCGACGCTGCGGTTCCATAAGTGGTTACTTGAACGCTTCAATCACGTAAAACGCTTGCATCTGTATTTACAACGTAAACAATGGCATCCGATGATTACAATACCTGGTCTGTTCCAGAACTAACGTTACGTGGAGCTGTCACAAGAGACAGAAATATAGATCTTATAGAAAGGTAAACGATGTATTTAAAAAATATTGAGATTTCTTCTATTATAAGCGGAAACGCCGCTACAGTACATTGCCAAAAAGCTTTCGTCACCAACAAGGCAACATTTTTGGGCTATATTTTTCATATAAAAAGACGTTTATTGGAGGCATTTATGGATGTATTTTTACAAATAATGTGTTGAAAAACGCTGAAATGTATATAAAGAGTATTTGTTTGTTTTGTCATAGCTCTGTCATCTGTCAATGTCTGTTGTTTTTATTTTCTCCTGATGTGAACACATATACTATTTTTTACAATTTAATTTGGTTGAAATATAAATATATAGCAAGATTGTTTATAATAGACAATAATATTTATGTTTATCTCAGAAGAAAATGAAAATAAACAAATATAATTATTCTGCTGTTGGTACCAAGTTGCATAAAATCAAATCAGAAATGTCCCCTAAATAATCTTTTGAAATGCAATTTTATATGAAATATTTAGTGTGAAATACCAAGTGACAAATACATGTACCCCAAGTTAGAAAAAAGCAAAATAAAAACCCCACTGAACATATAAATAGTCATGAATATATAATTAAACTTTCTAGGATACAATTAAATGATTTTGTATAATAATAATTAAAAATAGGGGTTCTATACAGATATTATCTGTTGGCCATGAAATGTGATACAGACCATGCAGACTGGGCAAGGGAAAATTAAATTTAACTTGTTATATACTGGGACTATTATACTAATAGTCTATTAGTCCCAGTTATATATAAACAATTTATTACTTTTGAAATGGGACAATTACACAAGGAAAGTATTAAATCCTCCCAATACCACTTTTAAACAAGACATGATTCTACATTTTTAAGCTTTAAATCTTTTAATATGTCTCAGCTTCATCAACTTAAAAAAAGAAGACACTGTAAAAGAAATATAAAGGCCCTTCTCTGCAAACTTTTTATATATAACATGATGGGGCCATTTTTGGAAATTTTAAAAGATATGTACATCTATAATGAAGTTTTATTTGCAATTCAAGTTCAAACAAGGAATTATTTAAATATGGAATAATTTCAAATTCTGCAAAATTGATTAGAACATAATTATGAAAACTGACCCAACTAAATATTTTTAAAACTTAGAAATGTGGTCCCTATACATGTAGTTCTACGTCCTTTTTGAATCCTATCTGTTCTTGGCAGATAATCTTATAAGATTCTAAATAGTTTTCTAAACTATTATACTCTAGAAAAAAATGTTCCTAAACTAGTAAAAAGGGTTATACCTCTGTTGTTTGAAGGGCTATTAAAACATCTTCCTTTGAATATGGGTTAAATAAATTTTCTCTCCAATAAGAACTTGCTAGAGAGAAAATTTTATTAATTTTTAAGAAAAAAGTAATGTTTTATAATTTTATATACATATCATGCCCAACATTCAGCATACAAGAATTTTTCAAAATTTCATTAGTTATACCATTAAATCCACATGATATTTTGTTTTTCAAATATTTCATGGCAAGCAGAATTTAATCTATGTAATAGTACTTTAAAAAATCTTTACCTACATGTTTTAAAAAAATTCAAACCATTCCTTAGCTTGTTTAATTAAACTTTGCCTGGAACATGCATTAAATATTTGTCACTGGACATTAAGATTCCAACAATCAATCAATATATTTGAACTTGAATCATTGATTTCTTTCCTTTTTGTCTTGCCTTGACAGAGTCCAAAAGCAAGACATAGCATATATTAGGTATGCTGTTTTCAGCGTCATCAACAATGTATTAGTTAGTAAAGTAATATAAAATAGTGAAATATTGCAGACATTTTCTACTGGTAGATATTTGTAACCATGAAAGACAATATATTCATTATACAGTTTTCATGATTAATCGCACAGGCACTTGTCTCAAAAAAAAAATTCCTATATACCTTAATATAACATGTGTTATAGGAAATTTTTTTCTGAGACAAGTGCCTGAGATTAATCACCCTTCAAGGCTAGGCCAGATATATTTTTTGTAAGTATAGATAATTGTTAATGTGTCAATCCTAGTCAGGAGCCTTTAATTTAGTAGTTATAGTTGGTTAATTTCTGATATATATACATATATATTTGTTTTTTTATTGTCTTATTTTATAATTTAAAATCAAGCCATTAGTTTTCTTGTTTGAATTTTCTTTCATTTTTGAATGTTGTGACCTTTGTAGCTGACTAGTACTATGTGATTTTTTCTTGACTGTATTTTATTTAATATTTTGACTTTTTTTTATCTTTTGTAGAATCAATTAGAAGAGCCAAAATTTATAAGCTTAGATTCAAACCATTCTGGAGGAGCAGATTGTGTGAAGGTATTTATCCTTTTATAGCCTCAATCTATATCACAAAAATGTATTTGTGTTAAAATATACAATTACCATTAAGAGAGTTGATTTTTTGTAAGACCAAGTAAAGGTTACAGGTCCTAATCTCAGTTGGGAAAATGGTACTGTACAGTTTTATTTAAGTACTGGTGAACTCTACCGTTACAGACTCGTATGATAATAATACACCTGAAACTCCACAGATATACGTGTATATCTTCCGAATCCAGCCACACTGATTAGATGTCGCTTTTCAATATAAATTTTAATGAAACCAGACTGGATTAAAATAAAATTTTCTTGTGTAATTTGATGAAATTTAAATTATCTCCACTAGTTTACTCACTAAACAACAGGACTAATCTGTTAAAATTTTCTTTACAGAAGCCAGCAGAAGTCAAGAGAAATAAAAAGAATTGAACAAAAGAAAAATTGAAAAAGAACAGTGAAATGACAAAATTAAATAAAAATTTTGCATTTCTTATTGTTGTTATCTTGTGTATTGTTGACCAAGACAGCAAAGAAAACCATCGAAAAGCTGTTCAGACAGAAAATGACAGATGCTACACATGATCAAACAAAAGATAAAAAAACACTTCTAAGAAAAAATTTGTTCAATGCTGGACCAAATGAAATGCATGAGGATATTTATAATCTGAAATAAAATGCTTTGCTGAGCGCAGCCTGATACGACAGCAGAGGTCGAACCTTATACAGTTGGGGCAAATTTGGACACAATATTCAAGCTTGATACTGTCTGAATTTGGATTGTAATCAAATTTTTGACATAATATAGGTTTCTGACACAAAATAAATGTGGTCAAAGATCTTATAAATCCATTGCGCAATACTGTGCAATTGAAGATTTCTTCTTGAAACTTTTCAAAAATTCGAAATTTTAAAAAATTTTGAAAAAAAAATATGAATCCCTTAAAAAAAATTGTGAAAAAAATCCCCCCCCCCCCAACTTTTTGACCCCCCCCTCCCCCCTTGGAGCAATAACCCCAAAACTCAATCCCAGCCTTTCCTTTGTAGTATGGAACCTTGTAGTACAATTTCAGAGAGATCCATACACTTAAACACAAGTTATTGTCTGGAAACTAGAAAAATGCTTGTTTTTGGCCCCTTTTTGGCCCCTAATTCCTAAACTGTTGGCCCTATAACCCCTAAAATGAATCCCAACCTTCTACTTGTGGTATTAAACATTGTGGTACAATTTTAGAGCAGTCAATATACTTATACACAAGTTATTATCCTGAAACTAGAAAAATGCTTGTTTTGGGCCCCTTTTTGGGCCCCAAATTCCTAAACGGTTCGGACCATCATCCCCAAAATCAATCCCAACCTTCCTTTTGTGGTATTAAACTTTCTTAAAAAATTTCATAAAGATCCATTCACTTAAACTAAAGTTATTGTCCGGAAACCAATGTGTCTTCGGACGACGACGCAGACGACGACGACATCATACCATTATACGATCCCAAAAAAATTTTTGCGGTCGTATAAAAATTAATACCTCTATTTAAGTGAAACAAATTATGCGGTATGGGCTTTGCTCATTGTTGAAGGCTGTACGGTGACCTATAGTTGTAATTATTTCTGTGTCATTTGGTCTTTTGTGGAGAGTTGTCTCATTGGCAATCAAACCACATCTTTTTCATATGTGTTCAGTGCAAAATACAAAAAATGGACTATCAATAAAATTGATATCTAAGACAGGAAATATTGGGGTTTGTCAATGAGACATTTACCCGACAAAAATAGACAAAAAATATATAGATTAAGCCGGCATCAACAGCATGCAGACAAATGTAAAAGGAGATGTGGGGTAAAGATCAGTATGATGGCAGTTGTTTTCTCAAATGTGGATCCAGGATTTTGAATCTAGATAAAGTGACCCCCCCCCCCCCCCCACTCCACACTGATGTAACTGTATTAAAACAAAGTCAATGTAGGACTTTCTTTGAGATATTATTGTGTCTGGGAGACACAATTGATGCCCCTGTATATGCAAAGTGTTATTTTAAAATAACTATAACATTTAACCGCTTATACCCCAAAAATGACAAAGTTCAACTATCTCCCAAAAGGGCAAATATCACTAAAAATGAAAACCATAACCACATGCACATCTTCAATATATGTACAAACAGACAGCAAAGTGAAAACTTCCTAGGATTCTAACTGTAGGAGGAGTTGTGCTGAATAACTATATACCCATAATGGGACGAACGGACAGACAGACAGAAGGACAGACAGGAGTAAAATAATATGCCCACAACTTTCAGTTGCGGGGGCATTAAAAGGGGTCATCAGGCCCCAAACTAGACAAAGTTTTGAGAGTAATAAAAAAATCTGGATTTACCATAAATGTAGCTCCATAAGGGCCATAAAGGGGGGACCCAGGCACCC